CGTGAGATTAAAATTATTTAATATCTTTCTTTCTACGAGCTGATTCTTTCTTCATGTACTACATCCTTTCTTTTATATATTACACCATTTAGTTAATTGCTTCTATGAATTTGGTGTTCATCTTGCTGTGCTAATGAGGTGTGGTTACTTGGACGGATGCACATATGTGCCTGATCATGCGTTGTAACTGACTGACTCTGGTCAAATTACAAGTCGGACGGAATGTATCAGTAGCATAAGAAATTTATCGACTTACACTGAATTGTTTTTTAAGGGTGCTTGACATCGAATTTGATAAATGTTGAAAATTTGATGTTTTACCTTACGGAACTGATTTTTTGAGAAGTTAGAGGCCTCATGTACATAATCACTCTTTTGCCTTAGTCTCAAACGAACAAGATTTCACCCATCCCTTTAGAATTCCTTAGAAGCAGGCTAGCATGGGCACTAGGTTATGGTAGGGTGCTTGAGGGGGTGGAAAATGGTGTGGCTTCGATGTAACATTATACAACGTAAGGACTAACATCAGTTAGCAGAAGTAGATTGAGATAATTCAGTGAATAACGTGAGCCTCAACATGAGTTTAAGTCGTGTGCACATGGATAAGCATAACAAAATTACTTAGACTGTTATCGCCATCAATTTTAACTACGTTATTCTGTGAAGACTTTTCATTTTACTGCTGCTATCTCATGAATTTATTTACCAGTGATGATGTCACAGGTATTCAGTGTTTGACAACGCTTCTACCAGTAACACCTTCAAATATATTTCGTTCCCGCCCAGAGAAATCAAAAGACAGAGTCGAGGAGATCGGAAGAGTATATTTGGCGATGACCAATATATCGGAATTCTCTGATCTAATCTGGCTAGCGATTGCGGTTGGTGTTGAGCACGGCGTTACCACACGTGATCTGGTGCGGATGCATGACCGAGCGCCTTCAGCTAGATGAGTCCACTAAAACATATGGTCAGCATCCAATGTCGAAAACTTAGTGCCATTTATTTTGGGGATTTATTTACCGCTATACCAGTGTTCATATAGTGTTCTAACTTGATATTGACTAGTATTCGAATTCAGTTAGCCAACCCACAATTTATTATTATTATTTAGCATGATATGTTTTTCAAATTATCAACCTCTTTCGGGTGGAGCAACAAGACAACTCATTCACATATCTATCTGTAAAATTCGTACTAAGATTTACACTGAAACACACAGACGTGACAGGTGATCAAGTACTACAAATAGCTCAAATTGCTTGTACTCAGCACAGCAGTACTCCAATGATGAAATCATTAGTGCATTATTAGCCGATGTTGGTAGCAATGTTAACTTATTCTTAGAGAAGAAAATATGTCCATGTCGTTAATGGTATTTTATCTAGGTATGGTAAATTCCGTAGCAGTAATGTGTATGGAAGAAAAAAATAGAACCACGGAGAAGAAATCCCAAGTCCTGTTCAGGTTAGCTTAATAGGCTTAACTTCGGTTGTTCACTAGTTCATATATTTGCTCGACCTCATTACTATTACTAAAGATCCGGCTCATCATCCCAACACCAAGAAGAAAAAGTAAGGAAATAGTCAGGTTCATAAAAATTCGTTACAAACATATAATTCAGAATATAGATCATGAGTTTGCGGTTAGCTTCATTCATAACCCCACATTCGTCAATCTGAAGCTACTTTCGGTCCGGATCGATATGAAGGAGAACTACCAATTCTACCTCATGAAAGCAACCTTCCTACAAAATAAACAAAAATAGAACCCAGAAAAACGTAAAAGACACCGCCCTTGTAGTTTAAGGGTTCTCATATAGGAGAGTCACTAATTCCCGAAGTGAAAGTCTGGAACCAATAACGTTAGGTTGTTAAAAACATTGCCACTTCTTTGACTGTACCAAAGGTTAGTATTCCGGAGCATATTCATCCATTTTGTTAGATTTGCTCCGAACTGTCATGATTCGGTTCGTGCAGTTGTGGCTCGTGTTTACTGAAAACAAACCTGCATCCCATATAACCACTAACAGTATCCGTCAGAGCGATTTGAAGAAACGCTCGGGAATGATACTATAAAAGTAATTGTTGACCGTTTGTACATCAGGTACGAAATCAGCAGTCACCGAAAGCCAAGAGATCTCACTTGTGAAAATATAGGTGGGCGGAATGTCCAGAGAATATAGGACGTTCTTTCTGTTAGAGTCAAACAAGATTATAAGGACCAACCCCATGAGACTGAAGTCTATTGGATAGAACTGCTCAGAAAAACCTGTAAATTATAGCCTCACCTGGTATTAGCAAACTTGTTTATAATATTTGGATGACAGAACTACACCACAATCGTAAATGTGCAGTGATGTGACTACCTGATCTACCAGACATTACGTGGAACTCACATAATTTTTTATACTCGCTCATTCTGTTATGACAGTAAATAGTTGCGGCTGAGGACTTATGGAGAATACATCTGGGCTAGGAAGAGAATAATATATTGAATCGGAAAAACGAGTAGTCACATAGTGCCGACCAAATCATGCCGTACCGAACAAGTTTTCCAAGTTTACTATTTCTGACCTCTGAGTGTTAAATGTTGAGTGTGAATCTTCCCAATTATCGTATGTTCGGCTTCAAGGATAATGTAGTTGAGAGCCGATACCATTACAACATAACCGTCCTGATAGAGGACTTGAATGTCAAGGCCAGGATGGGCAATATCTAATATGAATGATTCAAGTGGCAAAGTGGATTGGAAAAAAGCAACAAGAGTGGTGGAAAACTGATAGATCTATGTACTTCCAGTCACATGATCATAAGCGGTAGAATATTTTCCCTTAAATATGCATACACGAAGCTAAATAAGTATAATAAAACCACACTACTTAATAACTGATCGGTCACATATGCAAAAATAAAAAATACGTGTCAGTGTAAGAATTTAGAGCACGGAATGGACAAAATGTAGCATCAGATCATCATGCAAGTTAAGGAATTGTACAAGCAGAACTATACGAGTTTCGCACAACCTTACCCATAGATGCTAACGGGTTTAAAATATCTCTCAGCAACGCACTTGAACCCTCACACGGTCTACTAGATGATAACATTATTGAGAGCGATTGTTAGAAAAATTGAAGTATCGACTACACCAAATCAGGGGACTCCAGAAAAGTCTACTGGCGACAGAAAAACACAAGTGCCCCAAGAGGAGCACCAGGACTAAACAAGTAAAATAGTATGTCCACCCACATTTCATCGAAAGATTATTTGTCTAAGGTAGTTCAGTGGTGTCCAAGGTTACATTGACAATCCGTCTCGTTTATTTAAATCACACACGAGTGTGTCCTCAAACTATGAAAACGAACTTGCGAATATGCTGATGAATCGTTGATAGCGAATAAGACTGAGAAATTCATAGGAATATTTTGTTCAGTGTAATACCACACAGACGAAATTAACATTACGCCATTCACAGTAAAAATACGCAGATATACACTGCAGGAATATTTCCACAAGAACCCATGAGATCGATTGGTGTAACGGCAAAAAGAATTCCAGCGTTACATCCAGGCCTTTGAGAAATCACAGTTTAATCTGAAGAGCGAGTGTCACTTGGTTTAATCAGTGATTTACATTGCCTGAAGCGGACTAGTGAGCTTCTGAGGAACTTACTTTTCTACAAACTGACCTTCTATAAGTCAATAAAACTGTTGAGCATAGAACAGTTAAATAGCCAAGGCCGAGACAAATAAGCCATTTGGTTTATAAGACTTCAATCTATTTCTAACATAAAAACTAACGCAACTAGTGCGAGAAGATAACGTTCCTAGAAAAACAGGAAAATGCCAACCAGGTATGTGTTCGATCACCTACATAAGAGTAGACAGCAATTTTTGAAAATCTCCCTCTATATCCCATTAGTTTTGAGGCCAGTTTGTATGTTAACCAACTGTCGCTTCGTGAAAAATAATTTTAAACTAGAGAATCTCTATAGAGCCCCTATGCAAACGACACAAAATAGGGTGGTAACTGATACAAATACAATTATTCCCTTTCGAGTAAAACTCTGAATTGTAGAAACTTGATGCTTGCTATCTCAGTAACACGTGCATTCGTTATTGATAAGATCCCTCTTTAAAGAAATGATGTGAATTTAGGAAAACAATTCAAGACTGTCATTCACCACTGGATATATTTTGATACTCTACTATTTAAACATAATTTTAAAATATAGTTAGGTCTCCGAAATTAGGGTTTATGTCGCAGAACAAATTTCTTAGAAATACTAGTCTACGTATCAACTGAAGTGTGTAAACGCCACTAGACCAAATACCAACAATTTTCAACTTGTCTTAAGTCTAACCACAGGCTCATTGTAATTATCTTCAATTAATTGTGAGATGGACTGCGTTCACTATCGAACATGCGAAAGCAGTAGGTTGATATCTTCGTTTTGACGCTATGAATACTTCATCAAGATAGTCGTATTATTTTATATCAACAAATTGTATTAGTGAAACAGTGCTCTCCAAAATCCTGATAACCATAAACACCAAAGAACCGATGAATCTAACCGAGAAATTTTCCTATAGTTTTTTAAGTGTCCACCTAAAAGAAGACGGAGTACTCACCCTAAGAATAGTCAATTTAGTATGGAAAAGGTGAGTTTTGATAGAGGTCTACTGAAATGAAAAATAGTATTACAAATAGCTGGTAATCACCAAGTAGGGATCAACAAAACATCTTGATGTAAACGTACATATTTAAATTGTGTGGCTTAATGAATATTACACTAATAATCAGGGCCTATCACTTTATCAATTATAATGATCACAATTCAAAGTTAAACGTTTACTCAATAGATGAATTAGCAAAATAACAACCATGTGTAGAAAACACAAAATTTGATGTTTATTTCTTGGTGCATCTTATATACACAACGTTAAGGAAACACACAGAATATACGAAAACATAAAACAAAATGGATTAGAAAGTAGCGAGCTAAGAATGCTGTTCAAGTTCTGGATTCCCCATCTCTATTTCATCATCATTGTATATATTCTCAGCCTAAAATTGAATTAAATGTTTAAAAACCACAATGTATATGACTAGCTTTAAACTAAAGGAAAATAGAACGAAACAAATATATTTTATGTATAATATATGGAATTTGGCGGGTAGTATAATTCAGGACTCGCGTGACGTCATATTTTGAACTTGTCAGCTGAATGTATCTGCATCTGAGAGTCAATGTTCACTCCATGAAATGTTATTCACTTAGCCACTGAGTCCAGGTAGCCATTCACTTGTATAACAGGTATCAATTTTTAATTTAATTTGTCATGGCTCGGATTGTCCAGTTGTTCATATTTCGACCAAATTTTGATCGGTCAGTGAACATCGACTCTGAGACTTACGTATATTCAGCTGACAAGTTCAAAATAGCACGTAACGTGTGTTCTGAATTATACTACTTGTCAAATTTCATAAATTGTATATAATTTTGAGATAATGGCTACATCGATCGAATCCGCATAGGATGCACATATGCCGGCTAAGACTGATCAAAATTCAGTCACAAATATCAACAACGCGATAATCCAATCGATTACGAATTAAAATAAAAAATATATTTTATGTATCTATTGATAAGGCTTCTCATCTTATATGATTAGTCGATTTCTCGAGAATTGTTCTACCATTTCTTCATTTCTATACATAAATTAAACGAAAATGAGATTAATATTGTCAAACCAGCGGTAAATACTAAGTTCAGTTAACAGATATACCGCCCCCAAATGCCCTGGTACGGCCGAGAGTGGGGAGAGTCCGCTCTCCCTCGCGAAATGCTCTCACAAGGCCACGTGCATACAACCACCTCCAGGGAAGTGCTACTCACTGCCTTCTCGAGGTGGGGGTGTTGTTTACGAAATTGAGAGGACGAAAAGCGAATGTCTGGCGCTTTAACCGGATTAGTGGATGCGAGGAGTCCACCTAGGGGAGTTGGAAAAATCCGATTCAAAACCAATGGTGCACATGGGCTCCAGTATCCTGGAGGAACAAATGGAGTATGAACCTATTGTTGGTCATCAGCTACCATGGGGACTGCATCTCCCAATGTTGCTCCACTGCCTTGTGTTGGCGGGACATAGACTGGATTAAAGCATGCTCAATGCACGATTGCTTTGTTGCACGCTGATTGGATAAGAATTAGCCAATCAGCACTAGTCGATACTTGGAGAATAGAATCTTTTTATGTAAAAACTATAAATATACTAACGTTTTCCCTATTGTGCTTCTTACTTCCATCTAACCTTGTTATTTGGAATATAATCTCTTTCCTGTTCAACTGTGTTCTCATTTGGGGACTTGTCGAGTGAATCGGTGTCCAAGAATACTAAGCAATAGGAATAGCTGGGTCATAACCGTAAGAAAGAGATTATAACACTTTGTGGATCAGACCTTTAGGTCAAAGGCTTCGGGTGTGACCTCCTAAGAAAACCACCTGCTTCGGTTTGTGCACCGGGGCAGTATCCCAGCCCTCGCACAAATAGAGTGATTTATGTGACGCACATCTATTTAGTGCCTCCTTGTACCAATGTTTATGCGCTTAAATAAATAAATAAAATAAATAACAGATATACCGAATACCTGGGAATCTAGAGACACTTTAACTGTTCGACATTAATGTACGCAGAAAATCTTTAGAAGTTTACGAATAATTTTATCACTGGATTTATTTATTTTACAGTGAAGAGTTGAGCAGGCATAATTAGCAATAACTCTCGAGGAAAACTTTAAGAATGTCACGTCAACGTTTCATAATAAACGGGTGTAAATATTGTGTCAAATAGCATTGATTAGTGATTGAATGACTCAGCCTTTAATCAGTAAGACGGAAGTTTTAATCACTCTTAACTTAATCCAGTTTGAACAGCTCCAGTTTCTCTAATCTTCACTCAGTGTGGCTCAAAGTCGAATACAAAAACGTGTACTTGGTAAATAAGTTACATTTAGTATGACAATATTTTTGTGTCAAATTCAACTTCATAAACTGAATGCATACGAAAAATTAACAATTTACCATTTGCCAGATCTGTAAAATATTATCCTCAGATACAGAGCAAATAGCCCACGGATCATTAATATTCCAAGAAAAATCTGAAATCTTTGCTGTATGCCCAGCATGAATGAACAATAACTCAGGAGGTCCATCATCCGCATCTTCAGCAGTCTGATCAATACCTATCTTACTTAAATCCCAGACATGAAGACGACGATCAGTCCCTGAGCTTGCCAATATAGTTTCATTATGTGGAGACCACTGGACCTAATGAAAATACATTACAAATGGTTTTTAAAAAAATCAGATTCAACTTTTCATTAAAGTAACCTTTAGTGGAATACGTTCAGGCGATACAACCATGTTTATACCAAACATCAGTAGCACTTAAATAGAAAATGAAAGCAGCTGAATACCAATTTTCATAAAAAAGATCGTTTTCACAATATTCGGGAATTGTTTACCTTAGCTTTAGTAGCATTGTGCTTAATGTTTATGCCTTCAACCAACAGTCCCAAGAAGCAATATATTTTGTAAAATTTTATATTACATTGAGAAGTCAATACACTAGTGTTGTGAGCAGCCTAGTTTTCTAACACGATGACGCTAAAAAAATATTGAACAGTCTTTTCCAAACAATATTATTGTTTTTCATTTGAATACACCTGAAGAATTCTAGTTTAGCACATTTCATTCATGATTATATATCTGGTATTTTGTCAATGTTCAACGTAAGCTGATTTATTGTAATGTTTTAACTATCGACTTAGTAAGGATAAAAGCAAACCTACGATTTAGAAATAAACCGTGAATGGTACGTTATGCAAAGTAGTGAACACAATTATTTAATTTTCAAATGAACCAATAAATTATGTGAAGATGTAGTGATAAGGGTTACTCATGTGATTATCTTATTTAACTAATTTCTGCTACCCTAAGATATATCTAACAATGATATCAGGATCGTTTTTAAGAACGGAAAGAAGGTTTGATGCTGTAAGCAAACATATTAGGCGAGCTGCGTTTCTAAAAGAGTAGTTACGTGAATTAGATGATCGTTAAACAATGTTGTAATTCAACACAGTTCAGTAAAATCAAATAGCAAGAACATAAAATAGTAATCTTAAAAGCTAGAATATTTCATCACCTTTCTCTTTACTTTTAACTCAAAGCTAAAAATGACCGAAAAACTAGGTAATACTATCAATCTGAATGTGAGTTTGTATAACGTAGTAAATACATTGACAAAACAAATAATGTGATAATTAGGAAATTTCAAAGATGCATTTTAAAAATGCTGAATTTCTACCTGGAATATTTCATCCCTATGAGATTCAAATGAATGTAGCTTCAGCCGAAGATTACGCAGATCCCAAAGAGCAACAGTCTACAGATATTTTTGGATAAAAAAATGCTATATTAAAGGCATTGGTTATAAATTGCAAATAACACCTGATTTTAGATAACTGAAATATTTTAAAGCCAACTGCATCTTGGAACGGATGGGGGTCATGATATTAATATAACAGTGGTACACATATACTCCAACATACAGCTCATTTTCATAACAGAATAATGAATTCATTTACTGAGAATCTGACAAAATAATCGATGTAAAAACAAACACAATAAAATTAAGTATGATTAATTAGTTAGTCCCCGCCCAACTAAGTAATAAAACTACATAACCACAGTAAAATAATTAACTGCACTAATGTTACTCTAACTGACCAATCAGTACACGTATAACCGAAAAACAATCTTTTACCATGTACACAGCAATAAATTCAAACAACATTTATTTCTCTCTTTCTTGTTGGATGAGTCATAAATAATGAGAATATTGGTCCTGAAGACAAAGACTATCCGAACGAAGTACAGTCAGTTCATTTGAAGTTGATTGAGAATCAACTTCTTTTAAAATGATTTACGGAACAAATAAATTAACAAGAGCTTTGTTAATCTGAAAACTAACTAACTATATATATATATATATATATATATATATATATATATATATATATATATATATATATCCACACTGATTTTTGAAGCTGGTGAATGAGTTAAAATGAACTTAGTCACTTAAATAACGAACGTCATAGATACAAGAAACACCTCAAACTAACGTAATAAGAAAACAAATAATAAAACGTTTGCTACGTATGCACAACCATCGCCTACTTTATTGTTCAAGGATAATTAGTGTTGGAAGAAACATGGGAGAGGACAAACGAAAACGTGGTAAGTTCATGAAGTTACACTGAAACGTGTAAGTAGATGTAGATAACCTGGTTAGTACACGAATGATCTTCGTAACCAATGGTTGATGTTGGATGACATCGTTCAGAGCCATTCGCAATGGCCCAGGTTCACTAACTCTTAGTATTCCTTTAGAGCATGAGTCCCAATATCTTATACACATTTTATGCACATAAACGTCTTACTACTGCTACCGTTGATTTTGTTATCACAGCCACTATTCCGGAAATTATCTTTTTAATGTTATATCACTGTGCTGATGTGATGTTGCAACTTGAACCGATGTATATGTGGCAGGTCCTATACTGAATGTGGCTGTTCGAAGGACATGTAGTATTTCTGATTACATTTATAAAACGGTTATCACTGTCTCCAGATTTATCGCGAAGTAGGTGAATGGCTCGAATCTGCAAGCTAATGACCGAAAGCTCAGTACTTTTAACCTCTAAGCCACAGCTCTACGGTTAATTTTACTGAATTGGAGAGGACTAAATTGGGTTAATAGAAATAAATATTCACAAGTTTCGCAACATAGTTGACTTAAAAAACCAATGATATTGTTTCATGAATGTTATTTGGTTATTCACGTTTAAAAAGAGATACGAGGATAAAATACTTAATTACTTTGTCTGCACTTCCCGTCGCAATAATAAACTCAGAAAACGGATTAAAAGCAAGACAATTGACTTCGGCTGTATGAGCATCTACTTGGTGCTGAGGTTTTGTACGATTTGAACTCCGTGTATCCCAAACCATAAGTTTGTTATCATCTGCTACTGAACCAAAAATATGTCCATGGAAAAGATGCCAAGAAACATCCTCAACTACTGAATGATGACCGGTAAAGATAGCCATCGCATCTAGATCACAGCCATCTAAAGGAGCAGCATTAACATCCCACAAACAAATTGTCTGATCATCAGATGCTGAAAGGAGATGACCATTAAGAGACACATTCCATGAAAGACCATAACCTTCTTTTTGATGACCCTAAAGTGAAGACCGAATAGAAAAGCAATGCAATTGCTCAATAGAAGGGACACGTAATCCGGTATAACATAACAATTGGTCTCACAGTAAATGGAGAAAAATCCAAGACAGTTTGTTAGTTACGTGAAACCAAACTCCATGTGAGTTATTAAAACTTACGAACTTTATGGTTAAAGTAAATTAATCAGTATACCAATCAAACAATTTTATGCAACATTGTCGAAAATAGTCAACCTCCTCCCAAAATAAAGTAAAAATCCCAAATATGGTTTGTCTAATAACAGAGCACGAGAAAATAATACGAGTCTTGAAGTCGAAAATAGTTACCAACGTACTGGTTCATCTGCCAGATGGCATCTGAACTTTAAAGTATGTCCTAGGATAGAATAATTTCAAGATTTACTTGAAAATAATTTCATACGGTCACACATTAATAATTTTTGACCGCCATCTAGTGGTAATTGTTTTTCTCAAAACTTGTTATCTGGCACTGAAACTGAATTCGTCAAAAGAGAGTATTTATCTAAACGGGTTACAGAACACTAATTACGCACTGATGATAACTATGAAATTTCATGGAAAGAATTTTGCATAATTACATTATTCTTTGATTAATTCCATGCTGATATGTCTCTTTCCTTACATGTTCATGATGTTATGGTATTCTGAGGTATATTTCTTGATTCAAATGTTTTAAGTTTGTCTAAATGATAGCTAATCAGAAGAAATTTTCCCCTGGATTTTTTTTCAATTTGAGGCAGTTGAATATCACACATTCTCTATGAGACTAAATCAAAGTAAGAATCTCTGAATGTATCTTTCTTAGTTTAATGTTGGTGACAGAATTATGATATATTTATTTTCAGCACTGTATTCTATGGTTTGTTCTATGTGGTCACACATACTTTATTATATACTGGATTCAGAAAAGGGTAATAAAACGAGATGAACACCAATAGTATAGTACCTTGAGACGTAAATCAGGTTGGCAACCACGGTCTGATGGAGTTTTCGGTGGATGTCTTGGGTAATTAAATATTAAAACATCACCACTTGGTGTTTTGGTAGCTATTATGTCTGGATTCTGTGGCATAAACCGAGCACGATTGACTTCACCTTCATGATTTATTTTCATTGATATTTCCAACTTCCCAGATGGAAAATAAAATCCCCCGAAATCACCTCGTTCACTATCATAAGCACTTGCATCAAACTCTGCCTGGTCATTTGGTAGATGAACCGTAACTATCAATAAATGATTTTGCTCATCAGATGTGTGAGTCCCCAGTATTAAACGATGAACGGAGTAATCTCGCCCAGTCCTGTAGAACATTATTTGAGAAAACTACCTACCTTTCCACAGATGGCAACCACTGAGCAGTTAAACTTGGCCATTCCAAGCAGTGTGACATCAGCATATCGTACAAGAACGGAGTATTCCTCTTCCATATCTTGTATTCTTCATTTATTACTCTCTCTTCGACAATATCTTCAGAATCTGAAGGATGCAACTGTCATTTTTGATTGAAATAGTTAGTAAGTTAACTTACCATCATTTTTATTATAGAATACGCTTCAGAAACGGTGTAACCCCCTTTGAATAATTACACAAATGCTTCGTTAAGTGTAAATGGTCTTAGAATACAGAGAACATGAGAGGAATTAGGAAAGAATTACGAGTATTCCAACAGTAAAAATACAAAACTATGGGAAATAGAATTTTCATCGTTGTATGTCGAAAGTAAAGTGTAGTTATTACATACCCAATACTAGTTTCCTAAACCGCATGATGAATAATACAAATTTATGTAATCAGCTTTGAGCAACACTTATGTATAAGGAAAACTGACAAGAAAATACTCGGTCGCCCAAACGGATGTACAGAGAGGACGAGGGTTAACCAGAAAACAATGGCTCGGAGTCAAGAACTTCGACGACTAAACTACCAAGTCGATAATTTAAATAGCAATTATAAATACTAAATATGCTTTCCTAAAGAGCTTACATTATACAAATACATTAGGTACAAAACAATGTTACAACAGTAAATGTAAAATCTATTTAAGGCATTCGAAACAGTCTCTTCGGATGTGAAGCGGTAGATCAAACATCTGGGGCATTGAATTTGAAGGTTAGAAACCCACTCTATCTACTTCGATTTGAGAAAAGTACCATATAGACCTGATTCAAACCTTAGGACAAAAACCTGTACTTTATTACAGAGTTAATATTTAACTGGGATGTAGCCGATTTTTGGACACCGTGAAAATGTATAAAACAGAAGTCTTAGTTTAGTTAGGTGGGTTTGTACAATCACTAACCAGAATACCTTAGATGGTTTAGGGCTACCCAGCTGTGAATTAGGTTTATTGGCATTAAGCCACATGTTTGAACACTCGAAATCGGACAAGGTTTTAAAGATTTCCACTTGCGAATAATGAGATAAACCATCGAACAATAACTGATACTGTCAGAATTATTTATTGGAGGCTTTCATAATCGCGAATAAAAACAAGGATCTAACTAAACTACCAATTATTGAAAAAACTGCCTACAGACAGATTTCATCAAAACTTTATGTCCAAAAAGTGATTGACCACCGTTAATCTTTTAGAAAATAAGTGCTGTTTTCTAAAAGTACCACTGCTATACCTGAACTAGTACTTCGAATTCAGTTCTTATTGATTTTTATTCCAGATAGACAATGGCTTTATAAATTTTATTTATCTCTCCCGCTGTACATGCGATTGTAATCAACCCATATTATAGACCCAATAAAACATGTTTAGTTGAGTTTTATGGCATAATTCCTGAGTAAAATTCAAGACAGGAGTCTTCAGTTACCTAAAACGTAGAACCAGGCACACATATACATTGGTACAAGTTGCCACATCTCATTAGCACAACAAGATGAACACCAAATTCATAGAAGCAGTTACTTCAATGATAATAAAAAAATGCATATAAGAATACAGGGAGAAAGAATCAGCTCGTAGAAAGAAAGATATTAAATAATTTTAATCTCACGGCTTAAGAGAAGACAAAGTTTATAAACCCATGCCATAGTGTTCTATTCTAAGCCATTTCACCAAGAGTCTCTAACCAATGGTTACGATAGTCACGCGGACCCTGCATTTACCAACATGGGGCTCAGACCGGGATTTAGTAGCTTTATGGACTGACGTCACGTTTTGGTTTGGCCGCCCCTAACTTTCTTCCATCCGTCTCCAACACTAGTCAGCATTGCGTGTCATGGTAATCGGTGTTCAGGCATACGTAACGCATGGCCCAAGCATCTCAGTCGATGAAGATTCACAACCCCATCAACTAGTTTACCATCACTTCCTAATACCCTGCATCAAACCTCACTATTACTTACCCGGTGATCCCAGCAGATGCGAACAATATTTTTAAGACATCTGTAATTAAATACTAGTAAATTACGAGTATCCTCTACTCTTAATGGCCATGTTCCCCAGTCGTAAAGTAGAACATAACGAACTGCTGCACAGTATACTCATCCTTTATCTGAAAGACGGATATCTCGCGTTCGCCAAAGGTAACATAAGTTGGCAAAAGCCAAACAAGCTTTTTGAATCCGTACTGAGATTTTGCCAGACACCAACCCATTAGGGCTGATCAGGCTTCTAAGATAAGCGAAGTCGTCGATGCGTTCGACTACTTCACTCCCTACATTTAGTTTAGGTGTTGACGCAGACCAGTCCTGAAGCAACAACTTCCATTTAGAGGAGGAGAAACACATCCCAAATATCCTGGTATTATTGCTGTGCTACCAAAATACTCCGCATTTTATCAGTGTTTCCACCAAACAGGACTATGTCATCCATGTATTCTAAGTCGATAAGTGGACCTCCTGAAAGGAGCTCAATATCCGAGAATTCAGTCGACGAGAACGTTATTTTCATAAGTAGGTCTATGACGAAATTGAACAAAAGAGATAAAGTGGACAGCCTTGACGGACACCACTTGAAGTTGCAAAATCAGATGACAGTTCGCCATAAGCTCTCACTCGACTAGTAGTGTTCGAGTACAGAGCCCTTACAAGGTTTGTGTACTTCTGAGGTACACCTTTCAATGACAGACACTGCCACAGAACCTCTCGGTCTACAGAGTCAAATGCTGCTTTTAGGTCAAGAAAGACCACCATTGTCGGACGCCGATAAGCATGGTCGATACAGCCACGACTAGATCTGAAGCCAGCCTGATTTCCACGTGTTTGCAGTTCACGAGTCTTAGGCGCCCGATAATTATTGAGGCCAGTATTTTAGATGCTATACTAGTTAAACTAATTCGTCTATGGTTATCATAAGATGATTTCGATCCTTTCTTATATATTAGGACGATCAGTGATTGCGACCAGTCAGATGGGATTACGTCCAATTCCCAAATTCTACCTGAGACCTCTGTTAATCTCACTGCTAATACTGGACCGCCATCCTTAAAAATCTCGAGAATGAACTTGTCAGGGCCTGCTGCTCTCCATCGCTTCAGATTTCGGATAGCTTTTTCAACTTCATAAAGAGTTGGAGGACCTAAATTAACTTGCCATTCAGGTTGACTGGAGATCGTGGGAAACCGAAGTGTGGCTGAAGGCCAGTTGAACTGATCCCTAAAGTGTTCTGCCCATTGATCCAATCTCCTGGATTGAGAATGTATAATATGTTCATCTTTCTCTGAGACTGTTTCGTTAACAGTCGGGTTCCTAATACCGTTTCCCTAAGGAGTCTGAACAATTGTCTGCAATTACCTATTGCCGCTGCCTTTTCCATCTCTCTTGTTTTCGCTACCCACTACTGTTTGCGATCACTGCGTAGGCTTCTTATTAGCTTGCGCTTAATCTGACTCCGCTCTTCGTTATGTTCATAGCCAGATGGAATGAGTTTTCGAGCATCTATCAGTGCGATAGATGCTGTGAGATCCTGTGTTTCCCCCTAACTTTATGATTTACCGTACTTGCAGACATCACTGTTGTTACCACAGCTTTTCGGATGTCATTCCACGCTACCTCGGGGTGGGCATCGCTTACATGGCTGCCCAACTTTTTCTAGTTGTTCCTCAAATATACTCTGGGCATGACTATCATCAAGTAGGACCCTAAGGGGTTTTCTTGCATCATCTTTCCCACGTCCAGTAAGACGTAGACAAATATGCGCTTGCACAGGAGCATGAACTGAGTCTAAGTATGTGCTTTAGAATGAGCGACAGTCTTCTATCGAGCCTCTTTATCGGTGGCCGATAGCGGTGTGATCTATTTGGGTCCAACGTTGGGACGAATTCGGGGGTCGCCATGTCAAAATATGTTTTTCCTTATGTTCAAAGTTAGTGTTTGCAAGAAACAGGCGGTTATCTGAGCATACCTGCAACGGGTGGTCGCCATTATTTGTTCTTTGAGCCATGATACCATAAGATCCACCTAGGTGTCTTTCCCTTTAGCTTAGTTTACCTACTTGAGCAATAATGTCGCCAGCCATTATTACTACATCAGAGCGCTTAGCTTTTCTGAAAAGCTCGGAAAGCTTTCTATAAAACTCATCTTTTACATCATCTGAGCTGCAGTCAGTGGGAGAATAGGCAGAGACGACGAAGAGGCAACGACGAGTGTCCCTATCTTTCCGATTCCTTACTGTTCCGTTTAGTCGAACAGCGCTCAAACGATTGTCTACTGGGATCCACTCTAAGAGAGCTAGTTCCGCCCTAGGACTCAATGCTATACCTACGCCGGTGAGGCCACGAGAAGCAGAACCAGGGCTTCCAGATAAACGAAGCGTGAATCGAGTTGGTTCGTTGTTTTGACATGGTGAGGTCCTATATGCGCGTTTCGGAGACGCAGCACAAATCGATGACTCGAGATTCTAAAGTCCTAGCTAAAGAAGCCTGTTGTCCTATTTGGTACAGTGTTCGGACGTTAAAAGCTCCTACATGTAGTTTAGAGCGTGGTTTCAGGAGACCAGGAATAACGTTCCGCGTACTTGAATCGTTTGCCCTAGCGGTGCGAGGTGATAAAGAGAGGCAAGAAGGGTTAGTCGTGGAGATAAGAGAGGTATTAGGAGGTGTAGGAAGGATTTGGATGTGACCAACTTGGTCTCATATGCTGTTACGGGTATGAGGGCTGATGTAACTTCCCGGCTGCCCACAGCGTGGAAGGGTATTTCTTGAGGAACCTGAAAAGAAAGTTGGATTAATGTTGGCCTTAACGACCTGGCAGCGTGACTGCAGAGCCCATGGGACAACTGCTTGAGGCCAGTTGCGCACGGCATTTTTGTGGGTTTGTGACGTTTTAGCTCCGTTCTTCAAAGAGCCTTACCGCCAAAGACGGAAATCCGTTGGGTCATCACGATAGGCAAGCCCGACCACCGCGTCAAGGTAGCAGCTAAAGTCCGGGGCTGTCCAATTAGCGACATCTTTACACAAATGTAGTTTATCTTGAGTCAGATAGCACAAATATTTCAGAATATGTTTTTAGATGTAACATACAACCCACATCTAAATTAACCATCAGACCGGATGCAGTAATTATGATAGTTAATGCTCAGAT